GAAGGAGGAGGAATTTTTAGTGTAATTCTCGGCCTTCAGTTCTGTTTCAAATGGTGTGGGAGCTCCCTATGGTGAGTTCATGTATTTAAAAAAAAAAAAAAAGATACCTCATTAAATTGGCTTAGAACTGACAAATCCTCTGGTTGCAACCTTTTCAATAATGCCTAACAAAGGACACACTTTGGAAAAATAAATGTAATGAAATAAAGAAAGAACCATGGGAGACTATGGACTCCAAGAAATAAACTGAGGGTTTCAGAAGGCGGGGGGGTGGGGGGGGGGGGGGGGTGTTGGCGGGGGTTGCGGGATGAGTTAGGCCGGTGGTGGGTATTAAGGAGGGCACGGATTGCATGGAGCACTGGGTGTTATACCCAGACAATGAATCATGGAACACTACCTCAAAAACTAATGATGTACTGTTATGGTGACTAACATAACACAATAAAAATAATTAAAAGAAAGTTGCTTTTTCATATATGTAAGTTCAGAAGTTTAAATATGAAATCATATAATAGTGTTTGGAGTTTATTATATATTTTTTTAAGATTTTATTTATTTATTTGATAGAGATCACAAGTAGGCAGAGAATCAAGCAGAGGGGCCGGGGGAAGCAGGCTCCCCGCTGAGCAGAGAGCCTGATGCGATGCGAGGCTCATCCCAGGACCCTGAGATCTCAACCTGAGCTGAAGGCAGAGGCTTAACACTGAGCCACCCAGGTGCCCTGAAGTTTATTATATTTTTAAAATTTAGTTTTACTCATACAGATAATTCACAGATAGCCAGTGTGATAATTCAAAAGTGTAGATAATGTAAAAGGTTTTTATGATCCCCTCACAATCCCATTTCTCTAGAGCCACTGCTATTTGTGTGTCTGTGTGACATCCTAACCCTTTTTCTTTGTGTTACCAACATATGCATTCGTGGAATTGCATGGACTATTTTGAAAAACATGTGTATAGAAGTGGAGATCTGTAGATTGCAAAATTGGCTATATACTTTTCAGCTATGTTCATTGAGAGATGGAGTTTTTTCCCCCACCCCTTGAATCCAGCTAGCCTTGTGACTTGCTTTGACCGATATAACACAGATGTGATGTTTTGTTAGTTCCAAACCCAGAGGCTTCATAGCTTCTACTGTCACTGTGTTGGAACTCAGAAACCAGCATGGGAACAAACCTGGACTAGCCATCTGGAGACCAGAAGACCACATGGAAAGAGGTCCCAGATGCTCTAGTCTATCTACCAGATGAATGTAAGGGTCTAAGTGAGCCCACCTGAGATTAGCGGAGCCCTGGCCAAACCGTAAGAATTACCTAGCTGGGTCCAGTCCAAATTACTGACCTGTGTAATTTTGAGCTAAATAAATGGTTGTTCTAAACAACTAAGTGTGGAGACTGGCTGTATTATGAGCAGAAGCAAACTGATACTAGACCATATAGTATGTAGTTCTAATAACTTTTTTTCTTTACTCACTATGTTACAAAGAGTTTGACTTGTCAATGCATAAAGATCCTTCTTCTTCTTTTTAAGAGTTACATGAATTTCTATATTATGGATATTCTACAGTTTAACATTTGCTCTATACCAGACATTTAGGTTGTGCCTGCCTCCTTCCTTCTCTCCGTCTCCCCTCTATTACTGTATTGTAAGTATCCCTATAGTTGTTGTATACTTTCCCTACTCTGTTTTTTCTCGGCTAATAAGGGTTATCTTTTTCATAGACATTTAAAAAATATAATAAAATGTATCACTTTTTTTCTTAATTGCTTCCCTATTCTAAATTTTGCTCAAGAGCAGTTTCCCAACCATAAATATACTCTCTTTCTAATACGGAATTTTATGTGAGTATCTATATGTATGTGTGGATGTGTTAGGTTTAATTCATTAATCCTCTGAAATTTATTTGACTTTATAATGTGAAATTGTGAATATTTTTGTCAACTGGATGGCCAAATGTTCTAAACACCATTTAGGGTAGTTAAATCATTTTGCACTGGTTTGAAATACCACCTCCACTCTGCATTTAGATTATCTGCTTCAAGACTCTATTCTGTTCCATTGATCTACTTATTAGCCTGTTAGCCCATCAGTAACAAAATGACCACTACAATGTAACATACTGCATTATAGTATGTTTTGATATTGTCAAAGTATATTTTTCAAAAAATGTCTTAAATATTCTTCAGGATTTTCTATCTCAAAATAATTTCAGAGTCAGTTAAAATTCCATGAAAAAGTCATTCTGGAATTTTCATAAGGCTTACATTAACTTTATAGATTAATTTGCCACCAGTTGAACTTCTAACAACCTTGACTGTTGTTGTCAATGATCATGATATGCCTTTTCACTTATTTCCTATGTCCTTTGGTAAAATGTTATGGTTTTCTTTTTTAGTATATTGCATTCTTATTCTTTGACTTAGTTCTCTGAACTACATGGTTTTTTAAGCTATTTACATTTTCTAATACTTTTTTTAATTTTTAAAAATTTTTTATAAACATATCATGTATTATTAGCCCCAGGGGTACAGGTCTGTGAATGGCCAGGTTTACATACTTCACAGCACTCACCATAGCACATACCATCCCCAATGTCCATAACCCCACCACCCTGTCCCCACCCTCCTCCCCCACGTCTAAACATTTTAAAATTTATTTTTGCTCATGTTTGAGAAAATTAATCATGAAAATAGTTTTCTTTAAATTTGACCATTTTGGTAAACTCATCCATTCTAAGAATTTGCCACTTGATTCCTTTGGATTTTCTGGGTAATCATATCATTTAATATCATGAGAGTTTCTTATTTTTATTTTACCTTTCATTTCATTATTTTACTTTTTTTTTCTGATACTGAATTTGCTAAAACCCACTGTGTATTCATATTAGCCCATGCTGTCATAACTGAAGACTACAGTCTGGGTGGCTTAAACAACAAAATATATTTTCTCATAGTTTGGAGTCTGGAAGTCCCAGATGAAGGTGCCAGCACGATTGTTTCTGATGAGACCTCACTCCTCAGCTTACAGACAATGCCTTCTCACCGTCCTCTCCTCGCCCTTTATCTCTGTGAGCTCAGAGAACGAGCTCTGCTATTTCTCTTCCTCTTCTTACAAAGACAGGAGTCCTCACAGAGTAGTCCCATGCTTACGCTTCATTTAACCTTAATTATCTCCTTAAAGGAGATATTTAAAGGAGATATTAATTATCCCCTTAAAGGCCAAATCTCCAAATACAGTCACACGGGGTATCAGGGCTTCAACATATTCCATTTCTGGGATATCATTATAATCCCATTTCTGAATTAGCATTAAAAATAATATTTTTGGGGTGACTGGCCAGCTTAGTCAGTGGTGAGGCATGTGACTCTTGATCTTGGGGTTGTGAGTTTGAGCCCCACGTTGAATGTAGGGATTACTTAGAAAAAAAAAATCTTCTAACAAAATGGTTTAGGGTGCCTGGGTGGCTCAGTGGGTTAAAGCCTCTGCCTTCGGCTCAGGTCATGATCCCAGGGTCCTGGGATCGAGTCCTGCATTGGGCTCTCTGCTCAGCGGAGAGCCTGCTTCCCCCCCACCCGCCTGCCTCTCTGCCTACTTGTGATCTCTGTCTGTCAAATAAATAAATAAAAACTTTAAAAAATTTTGTTTAAAAAATAATATTTTTATTTTCTGTTCTGAATATATGAGAAATAATGTGTGCAAAATGTGCAAAAGAAACAAAATCAATTTGATATAAATAAGAGCTATCACATAGGTTTATTTGAAAAAGATATGTTTGTGCATAGAGTACCTAGTTCATGGTAGAGACAGACCAAAATTAAAAAACACTTATTGATTGACAGTAAAAGTGCCACAAACCTTTGTTATTATGTGTGTGTTGTGTTTAAAATGTCCATAAGTAATTGTGTTTAATACCATACAGATAGGTGGTTTATGTTAAAAAAGCAGTCATTCATGTTTTCCTATTTATTTAGTAAAGATTTGCAGTTGGACAGCAATACAAAGACATCATCTCTTCCTGGTATTTGAAGACGTTAGGTTATTCTCCTTCAACTAAAGTGGTAAATACTGTAATAAGCAAATCTCAGTTTCTTGCTATCTCAAGGAAATAGACAAAATATTATGGTGATACAGTAGTTTATAATTGCTACTCCCTTATGAATTAGAAATTTTTGGCAAAATACCACATTTTAAGTCACAAATAGTCTACTCTGAGCAACTCCCACTGAAAATTATTCTTAAAACTTTCATTCATTGAAAAAAAAATGATACAAGATGACTTAGGTAAAGGATTAACATATTTTAAGCACATTGCAAACTTTCAACAATTGTTAGTTACCTCCTAATCCTTAAAAGAGCAAAAATTAAAGATATGCATGATGATAAAAGGATACTTGATATATGCCTTATATAGGTTACCCTTTCTGCAAGAAAGAAGACTTCATTCTTTCTCCTTCTTTCTAATCCATATCCAATCACAAGGAGGCTCTTTAAAACTTCTTTATTATTGAAATAGAGTTGACACACAATATTATATTAGTTTCAGGTATACAACATAGTGAATTGACAGATTTATACCTTACACAATGTTCACTATGGTACCATCTGTCACCATATGACATTATTATAATATTATGTTATATAATATTTATATTATGTAATATAAATATTAATTATAATATGTATCATGTATTATGTAAAATATTATGTAATATAATATTAATTATAATATTATTACATAATATTATAATATATTATAATATTGTTCCCTGTATTCCTTATGCTATACTTTTTATCCTATGACTTATTTATTTTGTAACTGGAAGTTTGTGCCTCTTAATTCTCTTTTATTGCTTCACCCTCCTTCCTTCTGGCAACCCCAGGTTGTTCTCTGTATTTATGTCTATCTGTTTCTGGGTTTTGTTGTTGTTGTTGTTTGTTTGTTTTGTTTTATAAATTTCAGATATAAGTGAAATTATATAGTCTTTATCTATGTCTAACTTATTTCACTTAGCATAATACCCTATTGTTGAAATGTCCAAACCATGCAAAACGATCTATAGATTGAGTGAATTCTCTGTCAAGGAAGGTCTTACTACAAAAAAATGAACACATTGACTAAAATCTCAGACTTTTACAGACATGACTGGGCTCAGATACCCTTGCGTCTAAATCTCTGCTCTGCTCCTTTATGGCTTGGTGACCTTGGCAAGTTCCTTGTTGTCTCTCATCCTCAATTTTCCCATTCATAAATTTAGGGTAATAATACATTCCTTATGGATTTTCTGTGAGAAGTACATAAAATAACTTATATGAAATCCTAAATAGGAGCTCAGTAGATGAAATATTATTATTACTAATAAACACTGTCATATTTTCTTGCATACTGATATAATTTGAAATATTTAACTTGTTCATGGAAATGAGTCTGCCTCAAGGAGTTTAATTTCCAACCATGATTTTTAAAAAATCTATGTGAACGTTTGAGTTTCTTGTAATATTATATCTAGGACTCCAAATTTTGTTCTCAGATGAACCAAAGACTAAAATATCCTTTGTTAATGGTGGAAAATAAACAGCTTCTTAGGAAATAAGACTTCATCATGCAAGAGTATATAGATTTATGTCCAGTTCTTTGATTAAAAAAAGAGAAAAAGCCGGAAAGGCTTTTTCTCAAACCACTATAGAATAACTATTATGACTCTCCACTTTTTATTTTTATTGCTAGATTAAAAAAGATGACTCTGTACAATGCCTACACCAGGAGGATATTTTTCTACAAATAAGGGCCCAGCATGACATTTATGAGAAAGCCAGGGTCCTTCTGTGCAAAACTGATTGGTGCTCAGCCAGTGGGCTCCAAGGCATTGCAAATAAAGGTACCTTTTCCACTGGGCCTGATCAGAAGCAGGGCAGAGTGTTGCCTCTGCCTATGAAACTTCAGGAAATGCTCCAACTCCTGTCCTAGCAGACTACATCTGAGGTCAACAAAGAGAAACTGGGCTTTGAAGATGAAGCACTTTGTTCCTCAATTCCCTTGCATCTTGGCCATCTATTGCTTCTGCATGGTACAGATTCCCTCTTCAGGTAAGGGGACCCCTTCATCAGACTCCTATCTAGCCTGAGCTCTCAGGAAGACTGAGACAGACCTTGATCCTTCAGGGCAGTTCTGGAGGGAGTCAAACGTAATCCCCTCACCTACCCCCATTTCCACCCTTTTGAAATGGCTTCTCATTTGTCTCTAATATTTAAGAAAGGGTGGACAATTAGATGCTGCAGCCTTTTACCAAAAGAGACAACTTTCCCTTGTGGAACTTTCTTTAAACAATTCTTGACTCAGGGCTGTCCCAAAGATGTGCCACTGAAACTGTGAGGGATATGATTTGGGACCCCAATGTCTTAGCCATCTATACTCTGGGAATTCTGACGAGAGGAGAACAGAGACAGTGAAACTGTATTTACAGACCCAAAGACTGAGGATTGAGGGACAGTTGGAAAGGGGTGGGGAGGAAGCAGAAACAGGGAAAAAAGGAATATTTTCATAGCCTTTCTGTGGGCTCTCAGGAGGCAGGTTCCCAGACGGACCTTCAGAGACCCCGAATCTTCCTTGGTGTGGGCGCTGTCCGAGGTGCTGACTTGACAGGGGTGTTGCCTCATTAACTTCTGAGAATCTGTATGATTGCAGGGGACGAGGGAGGGGTGGGGTGTGGGGTCAGTTGTTAGAATGTGCTACCCATTTCAAGGTAATTTGCCAAATGATGCAGGGAAGCATGTAATGGTAGCTCCAACTGGAAGCAGGAACTATTTCAAAATTTCAGATTTTGCCATTAGAAATTTGATCTAGGGGTGTAGAAAATCTTTGAAAATATATTCAAACAGAAAATATATTTTTGAACAGTATGTTTGTTTTGCTATGTTCTGTAGTGTAATCACAAAACCTAGGCATTGTAAAGAACCTTGGAAGTCATTTAACCTTTCATGGAGAGCAGGGATCTATGATTTCCCTATTTGATTACTTTCTGTGATATCCAACTCACTACCAAACTAAGAGAACAAGTAGCTGCTTCTTCTGGGGTCCAGTAAAATCTGTTTGTGTTACACTTTTGGGAATTTGTTATTACTTTTTATCTGTCTATATATTTATATCCACTTCCTCTTTTTCCTACTTGATTTTATGTTTCCCAAGAATAGGTCCCTATGGTCTTTATCATTGTACTGTTAACACAGAACCTCCTAATAAATCCTTATAAGATTCGTTCAAATTACTTTGCATTTTTGAATGGCTCTAGTCATCAAAATTTTCTTTACACTAAACTAAAATCTGATCATATGTAACCTCTAACCATTAGCCCCAGTTCTATCCTTTGGGAATACAGAAGAGTACTAATATCCTGTATTTATGACAGTTCTCAAAATAACTGAAGGCAGTTAGCATACATGTCCTAATTTTCTTCTTTGCCAAAGAGGACTATTCTTAGTACCTCTAACTCAACTACAAATTCTATCATTTCAAGTAGGATTATCACCTTTCAAAGCTTGGACACTATTACTTCTGTATAGCACAAGATTGTCTCAGCTTTTTCTTGGCTCCTAGAGAGATTTCAAGAAGTAAAATATCAGTATTTTAGATCTATACTACTCTTGAGCCATATATTCCCTGTCCTACATTTAAAAAATCTAAGTTCAGGGTTTTGCATTTATCCCATTTAATTTCATCTACCCAATTGATTCCTTCAGCTGCTGTATTAGCTATTCTCCCAAGTGTTGTGTCATGCACCAATGAGATGAAGACTTCATTTAAGTCAGCTAAAGATTGACTGGCATAGGGTGCCGCTGCGTGCTGGTAACACTCTTACCCAGAACCTACCCCTGAAGAGTCTGATGAGGCAAAGAGATGAGTATCTGTATTTCTTAAAGGTTCCAAGAGTGATTTTGATGCACATACTTTCTTTTTTTTTTTTTGTTAAGATTTTATTTATTTATTTGACAGAGAGAGATCACAAGTAGGCAGAGAGGCAGGCAGAGAGGTGGGAGGGCAACAGGCTCCCCGCTGAGCAGAGAGCCCAATGTGGGGCTCGATCCCAGGACCCTGATATCATGACCTGAGCCAAAGGCAGAGGCCCAACCCACTGAGCCCACCCAGGCGCCCACATTTCCTGATAGTCTATCTTCAAAAATTGCATCAAAATACAAATTATATTGTACCCAGGTGTCTTTTCCCTTTTTCTGGAGTTACTAACTCTTATACTGCTAACTCCTGATAAATAAAAAAACACTGTTTTTCATTAATTTTGGTACAAATCTCAATTTGCTGTTGGTAGGTAAGTGTGTTTTCTTTGTAAATCCTTTTAAAAATACTGTATTTTTAGGGTGCCTGGGTGGCTCAGTGGGTTAAAGCCTCTGCCTTCGGCTCGGGACATGGTCCTGAGGTCCTGGGATCGAGCCCCGCATCAGGCTTTCTGCTCGGCGGGGAGCCTGCTTCCTCCTCTCTCTCTTTCTGCCTGCCTCTCTGCCTACCTGTGATCTCTGTCTGTCAAAGAAATGAATAAAATATTTTTAAAAAATACTGTATTTTTAGAATCTCTATAGGTTTTTCATGATAAAGATTTAAAAACTAATGCTATGACTTCCCCCCCATTAATACTTTTATGATTTCTCACAATAGGATTTCCTCGACCTCTAGCTGATCCCCCAGATGGCTTGGATATCATGCAGCTTGAGGTACACTGCTGTTTAGTAATGTGAGATTTTTTTATTTAGTCTTGGCCTTGAGAATATCTTGTGGATAATGTTCACTTGAAATGATTTTAGGATCAGATTCTTGGATGCGGCAGGAACTCATGTTGCCATTTTCATGACCTCACTTAAGGCATCCTGAGAGTTGTGTTGAAATTCACTGCCATTGTATGAGAAGATATTGCAAAGTTCATAAATGGGACAATTTTAGAATTTTATGTGTGTTTTAATAGATTGCTATTGACTAAGGAATTTATACTGACCTTTGATTCATTCTTCGTATTTTTCTTTAGCGGCTGGCATATTGGGCAGCTCTTTCTAGGCAACCTAAGGTAAAAGAAAAATAACATATATGTAATAATTCTTTTCTTTTTATCTTTATTTTAACAAAAGATTTATTTATTTATTTGAGAGAGAAAGAGAGAGAGAGAGAGTCAGCACCCCTGTTAATAGGGGGTGCTGAGATCATGACCTGAGCTAAAATTAAGAGTCAGGCACTTAACTGACTGAGAAACCCAGGTGCCCCCGTGTAATAATTCTTTTAGTTATAAGTGTACATGTTTTTACTATAATTGATATCTGTAATAAAAGCACACTTTTTTGCTGCCTACAGGAGAAATCTGTGTGTGTGTCTAAGTAAGTGGGTAAGAATGCAGTTTTAGTAAATAACAAGTAAATTTCTCAAATACAAAATACTATAAACTATGGGTAGTTCGTGTATATTCTTACAATTATCATTATAATGTATACATGTGTAATTACATTAATTATGTATGTTGTGACATATCGTGACATATGTTACAGATTGGTACACTATAATATAATAGTTCTTCAAAAACAGTAGATCTCATGTAAAGGACCTAACAGTGATAGTAACCACAACAGAAATGTTTCCATGGATACAAAGTTGATGCAAAAATCAACAAAAATGTTGATTCAATCAAAAGTGCAAGAGGGTGGTATTAGGGTGGAGTCCATGATTCTGCAGCATAAACCGAATGTTTTCATGTTTCTCATGTTTTCACCTTGAGCTATATCTTTTCTTTCTCCTTCCCCTCTCCCAAGCCACATCATACTGCATCCTGGCCACTTTGAACTTTTCATTATTCCCCAAATGCACCAGGCCCTTGTAACTGTCCACAGGCTTTTCCGTAGCCAAAAGTACCTTTGCAGGCTGTGTTAGGAGCTCAGATTCTAAAACCAAAGTACTTGGGTTCAAAACCTCTATCTCCTTAGCTTTGGCAAGTTTCTTAATCTCTCCGTGTCTTGGTTTCCCCATTTGTCCTATGGGAATAATTGTTATACTATCCTCATAATGTCATTGTGGAGCTTGAGTGCTTGAATCTCTGTGGAGTGTTTTCAACAGTGTCTAGAACACAGTAAATGAAAGCACTCAAGTACCAGCTGCTACCATTGTCCCTGATGCAACTAATGGCCATTTCTCTAGACTCGAACATTACTTTCTCTCTCTTTTTAAATTTTTTGAAAGATTTTATTTATTTATTTGAGAGAGACTGAGAGAGCACAAGCAGGGGGAGCAGCAGAGGGAAAGGAAGAAGCAGGCTGCCCACTGAGCCAGGAGCCTGATGCAGGGTTCGATCCCATGAGCCTGGCTGGGATCATGACCTAAGCTTAATGGACTGAGTTGCCCAGGTGCCCCTACTTTCTCTCTTCAACCTCATAAGTATATCATGCCTATTTCTTTTTATTTTCAGTTTATCCTTACGCACATGTCTGAAGAGAGTAGTCATCTCTTATCTTTAAAACTAATCTTTACAGCCTTGCTACCCAGAGCAAAACTTTAGGGCAAAGATTCAAAGTTTTCCATCTCCTTGCTACTGCCTCTTCACATCACACAGGATAGGCTTCCCTGTCCCTCACATGAAGGCTGGGAGGGTGTCCCCTGCAAAGCAGAAGTGGAAGTGTAGCTGTCACATGTGGGTTTCCCCAAGTGCAAGGGCTCACCTGAAATCCACTTTCTCCATTTTCCCAAAGCTGGTCCTCTTTATCATTTTCAGTTATAGAAGAGCAAAAGGTTGTTCAGTGAACAAAACTATCAATATTTTACATCAATTAACAGAGACATTGTGGCTCTTCCTTGTCTTGCCGCTGCATGAAAATAGGGCATTTGTCCTGTCACTTCCTCTCCTGGAACTCTGGTTCCCTCATCTATCCCTTGTCTGGATGAGCTACCTGGGCTCTAAGTCCACTTCCCATTCTGGGATCGAGAAAAGCCAGGATTGTGCCTCCAGGGCACTTTTATCTTTAAGCAATTCAGAAAGCAGAGTTACGTTCTACAAATAATGGCACCTGCAAAAAGTCTTCTGTTTTGTGTTTCTGGTGAGATCAGAACTTTAGATAGGAAAGGGAGCAATAGATTCTTGTCAATGCACTTCTACTATTCATCTGTTCAAGGATAAATACTTACGGAGAGCAGGCCGTGTGTTCAGTGCTAAAAGTTCAGTGCTGAACAGAACAGACAAAACTACCTGCTCTCATGAAACTTAAATTCTGTTGGGGAAGTAAATAATAAATTAGATAGGTAAGTACATTTTGAAATATGGTTTTTTCTCTGTAAAAAGAAAAAACTGAAGCAAGGAAGGTGCATATGAAATGTGGAGTTTGAGCACCTGGAAAATCATCTTCATATTCCTTGTTATTTTTTGGCTTGAAACGTAACAGTATAAAGCTGATGAATATGGTACATAAAATCAATTGTTTGCCCAATACATGTCCGGAAAACACACATACACTCACACACACATGACAGGGCAGGTGTGTGTGTGTGCGTGTGTGTGTAGTATACATAAGCATGGGCTGCTTCCCATGTAGAAACTTCACATTTTGTAAGATGATGTAATTGTATCAACAGCCACAAATTAAAAATGTTATTAACAATTTCATTTCTGTCTTGATTGAAGTGTGAGCGGATTCAAAAATGTTTCAGTGTGATTGAGATGTGAATAATCTATATTAGCCAGATCAGCATATTTAAAATATCTTTCACAATAATCATCTCAAGTAATTTTACAAAATGCGGACATGGAAACCTGATTTATTGTTTTGTAAGATGTCTTCTTCACAATAGGATCCTGGAGTAGAATATGCTGCAAATACACCATCCCCACCTGTCATCTGTGCAAACAAGGGCGAGATGGTGCTCTAAAAAGGATTTAGAAAGGAAGAGTTGGGCTTTCTACAAAAAGAGTGGAGGTTCATGTAGAAAGCTTTTTTTTGCAGGGGGAAACTTTGGTCAATTTGAGCCAACCCTAAAAAAAAAAAAAAAAAAAAACTGAATTCTAGCGTATACCCAGGAAAAAATTAAAAATTGCTATCATTAATTTTATTCCCACTCTTTTTTTTTAAGATTTTATTTATTTATTTGAAACACAGAGAGAGAGATCACAAGTATGCAGAGAGGCAGGCATAGAGAGAGAGAGGAGAAAGCAGGCTCCCCGCTGAGCAGAGAGCCCGATACGGGCCTCGATTCCAGGACCCTGAGATCATGACCTGAGCCAAAGGCAGAGGCTTAACCCACTGAGCCACCCAGGCGCCCTATTCCCACTCTTTGATGGTTATCTGGGAATTGCTTATGGGATTGCTTCTATGCACTACAGAGCATGTTTTTCTCCCCAAGATTAGAAAGGTAAAATGAGATTCAGTCTGAAAATAATGATGTATTGCTGGCAACTTGCTCTTTGGTAAGACCCAGCATCAACTATAGTCTTATTAAGTTTGGATTTCGTTTTAGACTGCCAATTTATTTCATAATATTCCATTAAATTCAATAAGGTCCATGGTGTAACTTGTATTGAAAACCTCATCAATTGCCTGCCTCAGTAAAATTCCATGTAACTTACCCTCACAATTCTCTTTCTAGGATGATCAAGACATATACAAAAGGGTGAGTACCACCCAGTCCTCTGGCAATGCAGGCATGTGAATTTCATGTTGATAAAAAGGTAATGTTGTGCTAAACTCAACTTTTTTTTTTTTTTTTTTTTTACTCAGTTTTTATTTCACTACTCCAGAACTCAGAAGCCGATACATCCAGTTAAAAGTGGGGTCAGTATTTTACTATACTCATCCTTCTGTAAATGTGACTCTTGTCTGGTTGTCTTTTATCCTGTCTTAATTAATATGTGCGAATAAGTAGAAAAGCCGGGGGCTTGCAGACACTGTCTGTGTAATAGCTTTCTAAGAGCTTTTTCCTGGGGCTTCAGGGATTCTCTCCCAGTCTGGGCTGGAGGTGGTAAGAGGCTGACAGATCTGAAAAGTTAGAGAATATATTCCAGAAAAGGAAAAATAAGTGAGGAGTAACTTTTTATTATGCACTTTAACAGATGTTTGAAAAAGACCTGATAAATACTGAGCTCAATTTACATTTATCGTATTACCTTATTTTTATTTTAAAAAGTGCTTTGTGACGTCACGTGTAAAGTGCCCTATCCCAAATAGTGATCCACGCAAGGGCACCTTCTGTAGCCATCACTATGTAGATGTGCTATGGGAATAATGTGGGTCTCCTTGTTGTTATTAGAAACTTGAGTTACTCTCAGAAGCAGGTTGTGTAAGTGAATTTCTGCAGGGTATGACTTGAGGAATATTAGGAAGGTCACAAAATAATATTTTTTAATTCAGGGGCTCTGTTACAGTAACTGAAATTCTACTATTCGAAAGTCACTTATTTATATAATCAAGGCTTTCCAAGTCTTCAAGAACACCTTTAAAAAAATACTAGTAAAGTGTTTTTTCCCTAAGAGGCATAGTCTCATCTGTAGTGTAGGTTTAGGAATGAGGATTCCAAGTGAGGATGAGGATAGTATCAGGAAGGGCCAAGGACACTATAAGGGAGAAAAGACAATGGAAGGAAAAAGATAAACTCCGTGACACAAATGAACCTTTACTCTGAGCCAAAATACTCAGGGAGGATTCACATAAACTGGGAATAAGACACAGGTATGTATATCTGAATGTGTGCCACAGTCACAGACAAGGACAGGAAAAGCAAACACCGGAGGGAAAGCACATTCGGGGTGCTGTCCTTCCACTTCCTCCCCTGGACTAGGAGAGTGGCCTGGAGTGAAAAAGGACGGTGCACTCCACCCTAGGACAGAATACTTGGGGAGAAGGCAAAGAAAAATCTGATTCACTCTAAGGGAATATTTGTAAGTGATGTGTTGGAATTGTAACCTGCTATAAAGGCAAGCAGTTCTTTAGTGAAAACCTAAAAGTTTCAAGTTTAGGCATGGACATGGATTTTATTCTGGACATCAAATCCGTCTAAGGGAGGGCATGGAGAGGACAGCATAGCCTGGGCTGCATCCCGGCGGGCGTCCAACCCCCCCCTCCCCGCCCCTCTCTTGCAGTTTCCTCCCGTGCACCCGTTAATGCGCATGGCTGCGCAGCTCGCCAACCGGAAGGTGAAAAGATTTCTGCAACAGCGCGTAGGTGCTTTCTCTTGGGCCCTCTTTTTATGCCGCCGCAAGTTCACTTTACGTGGTAAATGCGTGTGGGCTCTCGGCGCTGGGGGAGGGGGGAACAGGATGGGGGAAGGGGGGTGCTCACTTGCACGCTGTCTTTGAATCTCAGCCTCCACCTTGGGAAGGAGAGCTGGCCCAGCCTTGGGCCACAGTTCCCTACCTTGAATCCCACAGTGACTGCAGGGCCCGGGAAGGCCCCTAGGATAAAGATGTCCTCTTCTCTTCCACTCTCATCTTCCATTCATTTCCTTTTAGTTTCCATGCTGTTTTTTCACTTTCCCCGACCATTTCTCTTCCTCTTGACATGGACACTGCCTTGGTAATCCTCTGGGCTCTCCGTTGTTCCTCCACCCGCCCTTTTGTCCTATCTCAGAACTTTGTTTTTTTTAAATAAAGTTCTTTGTTTGTTTGGTTTTTGGGTTTTAGAAATTACCAGCTTCAGTAATAAGTATAGTTGTTTGAAATGCCCATCGAAGTTTTATTACATTGTAGCCAAAAAGGGAAGGAAGGAAGGAAGGAAGAAAAGTATTTCTTAGAGAAAAGAGCATTTCTTCCAAATGCTGAAACTCATCCCAGTTTGCCCAGAACATTCCTGGTTTTAGCTCTGAGAATCACCAGACCCCACCCAGGAAACTGCTCGGTTCCTGGAAAATAGGTTGGTCATTTTAAGCACCTGCAGCCGTGTGTCTTGTCTGATCCACCTGCTGCCTGCAGCCTTCCAGATTGAGGCTGATCCGTTGTTAGGAAGCTGCCAGGACATACCCTTGGACTGGGGCGTCAATCTCAAGTTGACACTGTTGGGAAGAGCAAGCCAATGTGTCCATTGTCCTGGACACAAAGGGTACCTCAATCAAGAGAACATGCCTGTCTTCCAGAACAGGCAATTATAATTGGCTACATGGTTAGCCCTTCCCTAACTGCTTTTTTGCATCCGATTTCTGGTACCAGGAGGCATGGGGTCACAGCCAACTAACGGTAAGCCTGGGGGATGCGGTTCCTATTACATTAACCTGTGCCTCATTCACTCACAGGATTCGGGGACTGCTGCAGTGGATTTCACCAAGAAGGTATGGAAGACCTGTGGAGAACCCAACTCCAACTCTTGCAGATCTGCAAGAGAAGTGCTTGGAGCTGGGCAATCTTGTCACCCTTTTAGATCACGTCTGGAAAGAACTGGTATCACAGTATGCCCCCTGAAAATCTTCTCTGAGGCTGAGCGTTTACTTGCAGGTTTTCCTGAGCTTGTCCTGAGGCAGTGAGGACTCACTGGGCAATGCTTCTGGCTGTTCGTATTTCATCTCCAGCCTTGCAGATGAGTCACCTGGACCCATCTGTTCCTGAGGATTTGCTTTATGTGACTCAGGGGCCCATATGGCTGTTGTACAAACTTGGGGAGAGGTACTGCAAGTGCATAAGCCCCATCTACCAGCGATTGACTCTCCAAGTTGACCATGAGTCGTCCATACCTCAGGACGTTTTTAAAATTCAGATGGCTGGGCCCCAACTCCAGGTAGTCAGTAGAGACCTGAGAATTTGCATTTTTAACCAAGTCTCAGGTGTCGCTGATGCTTTTGGTTGGGGACCACAGTTTGAAACCTGCGGTCATGACATCTTCGAAGACCTTGAGCACAAAGTGGTTGTATAATGGTTTGTGTTTTTATGTTGCAGGATTACACTGCCACCTGGGGACGACCATTTTTCCTTTTCAGGGTATAGTATTCCTTTTTCTCTGTTTTTAACTCCAATTCCCTTCTGGCATGCAATTATCGATTCCTCCAAAATGAGCACAGCCCAGCACCCCACAACAAGCTGGTGAATGATTATGGGGACTTTCTAATCCTTTCCTTAAGGGTGACTTTCAAAGTCTCCTCCTAGAAACTTGATGTTTATAAAAGAAAGGGTTCAGAAGGACATAGGCTGAGAGAACTAGAGCTCTGTGAGCATGACTGGGTGACAGGAATGCTGCTGATGGACAGACATGGGGGCCAACCAGAATTGGTGTCTGTGTCCCTGGGCGTGAAGGTCCAAGATACCCTCAAATAGTATAGGCACCACCCTCTCCTCCTCCCTTGGGGTCCTCAAGCAAAGGTCAAAGAATCAGAAACTGTCTTAGTTCGTGATCTGCCACTCACTAGCTATGCTTTATCCCCTAAGAGCCTTAAGGGTTTGCATCCCAAAAAATCAGACTATGAATTAGATGGACTCCTGCCTCTCAAACTCTATTCTGCAGGTCACTGGTGCTAAGAGGTTACTCTGCAAAGATCAGACAAGTTTGGGAAACAGTGCACCCAGCACTCTTGAAGATTCACAGTACACACCAGCATGTGTGAGAAAGCTGTGAGAAACATAGTTCCCTCCATGTCTGATCATGGAAGTTCTTCCACCTCCCTGCCTCCTGTGTGACCTATTAGTGGTTGTTCTCTAGAAAGTACTTTGAGAAACAGTGGGTCTCCACGATGTCTTCAGGGTGAGAAGTCCTGTAATAAATGGTTTGAAGACCATAGTGCCACATAAACAGAGGCTGGGGGTTGGAGGGGTGGGGGAGGGGACAGTGTCAGGGCTGGAGGAGCAGCAAGGGTCCTGGGTTTCTGCCACAGGGCTTCCCAGGTGAACTCCCAAGGATGCTGCTGACATCCCAGCTGGGAGAACGAGATCTTGGGGCCCAGTTGAGGAAGGATCTGAAACCCAGACGCAGGTTCCAGGGTTTTGGCTCAGTATCTGTAAGTTGCTCCTTTTTTTTTTTTTTCTCCCCAGCCAAGGAACGGAAGAAACACTGAAGATAACACCCAGTAGGACAGTCCAAGGTCAGCGCTGTTGCAACTGTTCTCCTCCAAGCAAACGTGTCTGACTGAGGGGGAGTGAGAGGCAGCCAGAGGGGTGGCAGTTCAAAAGGAGGAGGGCCACGTGGAATGTCGGGGACCCTCCATCCCCTCCCTTCCCTGATCCACACCACAGAGACCCCCACCGCAGTCTGGTAGAAGCTGTCCTGAGCACACCAAAGCAGCCTTTGCCCGCTTGCTGGCTCTTTGCAGGGGTCTCCAGCAGGAGCTATGAGGGAATAAGAGCCCCATGTGGCCCAGCTGATCCTCAGGATGTCTCACCTGACCCTTCTGATGAGGGAAAAGCACACCCCCTCTCCTGGGCAGGCTTGGCAGGGGAGGGGCAATACCTTAGAGTGGGAACATCTCTGAGGCAAGGCTACTCCCTCCATTCAAAAGTGTACTGAGACCCAGAGTTTAAATTTGCAGAGATTCTTGGTCTTCAGGCCTATGGAGGTGAAGTCCATGTACAAGGGCAGCTCTGGGCCTCCACTCCCTCTCATGATGGTGTGGTCCCAGGGACATGAGGTGGCTGTCCTTCGGAGGTGTCACTGCCTCCCTCCTGGAGCCTGATCCTGACCAGCCGGGGCCTGGGCAGGCCAGGGTAACTGAGAAAGCTGTCCAGATGCTGGGAGACAGAGCTCCCCAGCTGAAAGCAGGGGAAGAGTTTCCCTGAGGCCATGGCACTCAGCCTAAATGGCCCAATTAGATACTGCAAAAATAAATAAGTACCGATTTGGGGCATTTATGACTTGTCAGACTGAGGCATAATTTTAAAATATGTTGTACAATAACATGCCCACAGGCCTCTTCTTGATTCTGATAATGATTTGATCCAAGCACTGCATTTTTCTCTTCTTTTTCAGAATTCAGTGGCAAAGAGAAACTGGATCAGATAAAGAAATTGGGCAATTATTTTGAACACATGTTAACTTTCTGTGAGAGATAAAAGATAATTCTCTTGCTCTATATTCACTAGAATATTCAGTTGTATAAAAAATAAAGTAGCATGGACACAATATTTTCATTTCTTATTGGGAAGCCTTGTGGGAGGGAGAATATATATTTAATATATATATTGATTAAATGTGCTGTGTTGCCTTGTTTTACAGTGCCCCAGATATCTTGTTGTTATTGAGAACCCAGGCTAGGGAGAGACTGGCTGGCTTCATGTTCTGATTCTTTCACCTTTTAGCTGGGGGACTGTGGGCTGGTCACTTCCCATCCCTATGCCTCATTCTCCTCCATGGTAAAATAGAGTTGATAATAATAGTACCTTCACATAATTTTTGTGATGATGGTGGAGACCATCTATGAAAGGGCTTAGCAGTGTAGTACACAGTGAGTGCTCCATAAGCATTGACTGTAATGACACTTCAAAGATGATGGGGTTTTTTTTTTTGTGATATAATGTCAAAAATTTTATTTGGTTGGTTTTTTTTTAAATTTTTTTATTTTTTATAAACATATAATATATTTTTATCCCCAGGGGTACAGGAGTGTGAATCGCCAGGTTTACACACTTCACAGCACTCACCATAGCACATACCCTCCCCAATGTCCATAACCCCACCCCTCCTCCCAACCCCCCTCCCCCCAGCAACCCTCAGTTTGTTTTGTGAGATTAAGAGTCACTTATGGTTTGTCTCCCTCCCAATCCCATCTTGTTTCATTAAATCTTCTCCTACCATATGATCTCCCTAATATGAGGGAGTGGAGATGCAACATGGAGGGTTAAGGGGGTAGGAGAAGATTCAAAGATGATTTTTACGACACAAATTGTACCAGAGCAACTTGCCCTAATGACAGCTGCTTCTAGTTCTCTGTCCAGGGACTTGAGATTACAATACCAAGTTAACATATAACTATTAACAGACCCCCTAGGAAACAGGGCAGCTTGGGCCACCAGGCGCATCCTAGGGCCTAGAAGCACAGACCGCCTTGACTCAACCTCACATTTCTGTAATGGTGTGAGCAGAGCATAGCCCTGGTGTGCAGTACTCCAGCACAAGTCTGCAGGAACAATCTCGATCTTTTGAAGTGGCCAAGGATGGCTGTTTCTACCCCAAACCACGCCCCAGGATCCTCTTCACTCAATCAGTTATAATTGATTCCACCCCAGTGGAGGATCATACACTTGGCACAGGCCTGCTGTGGGCCAGCCTGGAAGATGATGGTTATGGGGGCGAGGGGTGGGCAAAGAGGGCCACAGCTTCTAAGGAACACTGTTTGAGCTAAAAATTCTTCCTCTGCCAAGCCAGACTCCCATGATGGGAGATGGAGACAGTCTCTGCAATCTCAGTCATCCCCTCATTCCTTTCCCCCACAGTAGTGACCGGTGACACTCCACCAGTGCCAATAAATCCAGAGAGGAAAGCAGACTGCGATTTAAGCTTCAGCTTCCACATTGTGACAACTGGTTCTCCCTGTGTACAGGGCTGGGCTATTTTTAGCCTGGTGTCCTATGAAAAGGAAACTTATGATGTCTATCCAGGTGTCTCATCAAATAAGACTGAGTCCTAGGCCCAATGTTGGTCTCTAGAGGGAGAGTGCCTGCCATCTTAGCCCTGATGGTCACTTTATAGGGAGAGGCCATGCCTCAGCCCACTGTCCAGGCTCCTGAGAGCCTCAGGAAGACCAGGGGTCTGAGGCTAGCCAGAACAGAATTTGAAAGGAACTCTCAGAATCTTGGAGTGGGCAGAGGCCTCGCTGATCATTCAGGCCCACCTTCTTGTGAGCTGTGAAGGAAAACAGCCCAGAGAGGCCAAGTGACATATTCATGGCTACAAGGCTACTGTCAAGCATGTCCAGAACAAAGTTCACATTTTTCAATTAAAGACTAATTGCTGGGGCACCTGGGTGGCTCAGTTTGTTAAGTGTCCTCCTTTGGCTCAGGTCATAACCCCAGAGTCCTGGGGTCAAGCCCTGTATCTCCTTCTGCCCTTCCCCCTACTTGTGCTCTCTCTTCCTCTCTCTCTCAGATAAATAAATAAAACATATTTTTAAAAAAAGCCTAATTGCTTTCTTCACTCTGACTTTACTATCTCATATTAGTTTTCTAGGACCTCCATAACAAATTTTCTCAAGCTTATTGACTTCAAGCAACAGAAATGTATTCCCTTAGAGTTCTGGAGGCCAAAAGTCCAACATAAGTGGATCATTAGGGCCATGTTCCCTCTGAAGACCTTAGTGGAGAATCCTTTCTCAACTTTTCTAGACTCTGGTGGCTCCAGATGTTCCTCTTGGTTGCGCAGCTTAACTCTAATCGCTACCTCTGTCATTGTGTGCCCTGTCCGCCTTGTCTTCTCCCTTTCTTTTCTCTTACACAAATACTCTTTAAACACTGATAATGGCACACAATTTGTTACTCTTTTTTCTCAAGTCACACTTGTATTAGTTCTTTTCACTGTAATCTATAAGTCTTCCATATTGTTCTATGAGTCTGGTATGCATTTTGGATATTTTCTTCTGATCTATCTTCTGATCTATCTTCCTGTTCAGCTGTGTCTCATATTATTAAAGCCACCAGCTGAGTTCTTAATTTTGGTTATTATATTTTTCAGTTCTAGAATTTATATTTGCTAATTTCATTATTTTCCAGCTTTCTGATGAGATTCTCAATCTTGTCACTTTTCTCCTTTAATGTAGTAAGAATAGATTTTTTTTTAGAATCTTTCTTGTGAGTAAGTTGTCTAGGTTCCCTTTATGTCTATTTCTCTGTTCACTATTATCTCAATTTTTGCTTGTTATTCACCCTTACTCTTTTTTTAAATACTTTTTTTTATTATGTTATGTTAGTCACCATATAGTACATCATTTGTTTTTGATGTAGTATTCCATGATTCACTGTTTGCATATAATACCCAGTGCCCCATGCAATATGTGCCCTCCTTAATATTCATCACTGGGCTCAGCCATCCCACATGGCTTCTCTCCCCTCTAAAACCCTCAGTTTGATTTCTGGAGTCCATAGTCTCTCATGGTTCATCTCTACCTCTGATCAGCCCCCCTTCATTTTTTCCCTTCCTTCTCCTAATGTTCTCCATACTATCCCTTATGTTCCACAAATAAGTGAAACCATATGATAATTGTCTTTCTCTGTTTGACTTATTTCACTCAGTATAATCTCCTCCAGTCCCATCCATGTTGATGCAAAAGCTGGGTATTCATTCTTTCTGATGGTTTGGTAATATTCCCTTGCATATATGGACCACATCTTCTTTATCCGCTCATCTGTTGAAGGGCATCTTGACTCCTTTCACAGTTTGGCTATTGTGGACATTGCTACCATGAACATGTGGACCTTCTTTTCACTACATCTATAGAGTTCTTTGAGGCCCTGATGAAATTGCTGAAAATTTTTCATGGGCTCCTCCATTGCACAGCCTTGACTCCAATGATGACTAACATTGCTGACCAGTTTTTCAGTTTCATATCTGCCTTCCTGAAGCCTTCAGGTATTCATATAAGAAATACACTAGCCCCAGTGTTTATTTCACCCTTCTGGATTTACATCTTAATCAGCTCTTGGGCCTATAAATCTTAACTGCCATGTTGTCCTTCCTGATACCTATTTAACAGAGAAAGTCTTCAAAGTCCACAAGGACACAGATATGAGTGATCACATGATTTCTCAGAGCAAAAGAGTTGGAAAGAACCCAGATGTGCATTAACAAGAGAAGAAAGAAATATTATAATATTCATATAAATGACATTTATATAGCAACAAAGATGAATGAACCACTTGCATAAAGTTAGAAAAGTCTTAAAAATCATGATGTTGAATGAAACAAGTGAGATGTTTTTTATAGCAATACAACATTTATGTAAGTTGAATACTGTGGTGAGAACAAATAACAAATTTAGGAGACTAGTAATTCCTGAGGGTAGGAAGACTGACACAAACAAGGAGAGCCACAGTGGGGCTTCAACTGTATTGATAATCTTTCTGTTGGGTATTAATTATTTAAAAAGTAATAATTTATAAATGAATTTATGTGGAAGCATGGAGAAGGAAGAGATATTTTGTGTCCAGGAAAATCAAGGAGAGAGGTGGTTCTTGAATTGGTTCTTGAAGCATCTGTAGGATTTCTCTAAATGGCAATGGGAAAGAACATCCCTGATAGAAAGAATAACAGACATAGGTGGGAAAGTGCATGTTCAAGGGACTGCAAGTAGCAGGATGGTATCTTCCTGCTTTACAATCCTTGCCCACACACACATGTACAACCTTCCCATTAGGCTAGATATCACTTGTTGAAACTGGGGTGAGATGAGATTTCAACACCTGGGAGATTAGGCTATGGCCCATGTTGAGGAGCTATGACAAGCCACAGCTGAGTTATACGGACAGTGTGCATGGCCTGGCAGCCAGACTGCCTGGGTTCAAATTCTACCTCTGACTCTATTTGTGTAGCCATGGCTCATTACCTCACCATTCTGTGCCTCAGTTTCCTTACCATTAATGTGAGCACAAAAATAGAACTTATCCTGTATGGTGGTTCTGAGTATTAACAGAGTAAATACTTGTAAGGAATTTAGAACACTGCCTGACATATCATAGATATTCTGTTGGTATTTGTTATTTATCTTCATGGTTATTATTACAGCACAAGCAAAGGAGACTGTCTGAGGCCTGTTGCAGGGAAGTCATCCTGACTGGGCTCTAAACTCTTTCTCTCTCTCCTACATCAAATTAGTGATTAGGCTTTATGTACCCTATAGATTTCTCCTTTCTGAATTTAAAAAAAAAATAGAGTAACTGAAACTGGGCTAAGAGCTCAGCTCTGTCATTGGCTACACCCTGTGTATAATGCCTTCTTACCATCTTTGATAACTTACTTAACTTCTCAGAGCATTAGCTTATTCAGCTGTAAAATCAGACAAATGATAGACTCTATTATATAATAGTGCTGTTATGCTTAACCATAGGAATGAATGTAAGTTCTTAGTAAGTGTGTTGCATGCACAATTTACAAACACGTATCTACATGCTAATGTTATATCATAGATACTGTGCAGTACCTTTCCATTTGTGGAGACCTGAAA